TCAGCCTGCTGCTAAGCCTTCCTTGGGTGGTTTCCTGTATTGAGGCAAGAAAGTTGGGAAAACGAGCAACGAAGTAAAGGGCTGTCTCTCCTTTTTCCTGTCTGCTTCGTTTCCAAAGACAAAGAAAGAAAACAACAACAAGAGCAGAATGTTCCGTTTGCCTACTGTTTAAATTACATAAATAAACAATAAATAAAAGAGCAAGATTCTCACGCTTCTATGATAAATGCCGTGGATTTCTTCCTGTGGTTCACAGTGGTTCACCGTGAATCTGAGGGGCATGGTTTCCAAAAGCACACTCTCATATAGATCCTCAAAAGGTCAGAGTATTGCTCCTATTTCTGAACAGGTAAGTCTGAGGGCAGGGCTTTTTAGCAGTCAGGCTATTTCTTTTAACACCTTTAATAGGAAAAAGAATTTACACTTTTCCCTTCAGTCATTCTTGGGGAACCCACCCATTTAAGAGAGCATTTATCTCCATGCAACAGCACCAGTGGTTGATTTTATATGTCAGCCTAACGGGGCTGAGAAATTCCAGATAGCCGGTAAACCTTATAGTTGGGTGTGTCTTTGAGGGTGTTTCCGGATTACAGTAGTATATGAATCAGTTAGGTTAAGAAATTCCACCTCCCCATGTGGGTGGACATCATCCAGTCATTTGAGGTTCCAAAGGAGTGTGCGCTCTCTCTTTTTGAGCTGAGGCATTCATTTTCTCTGCCCTCAGAAACACACATTCCTAATTTTTAGGTCTCTGAACTTGGCTCTGAACTTACATGATTGGCACTCCTCCCACTTACCCCCACATCCTACTACTACCCAATTCCCAAGCCTTTGGACTTGGGCTGAATCACACCACTGGTTTTCTTCATTTTCCCAGCTAGCATATAGCAGATCTTGGGCCCTCTCAGCCTTCATAATTTCATAATCCAATTTTCATAATCTCTCTTTTACTAGTTCTATTTCTTTGAAGAACCCTGGCTAATGCAACTACTTAGATATTGAATATCACCAATAGATTTTTCCTTCCAAGGAAAACAACTAAAACATTAAAATTTCCCAATTTTGAGAAGTCTGACAACATTAAACCACACAAATTTATCCTTAATTAAAAACCACTTAAAAAAATTCTGGCCTCCCATGGAAGTGATGGCCAGAAAAACTCTTAACTTGAGCCAGTAAAGACAAACTGCTCAAGAAAACTCTTTGAGTCCCTTATAATGCTCACATCAAAAAGCCTCCACTGGGTGTTCAAGGCATCCAAGATGAAACAGCAGGAGCAGAGCCTGCAGTCCATATGGGCTCTCTTCAGGCCAGAGATCCAAATTCTGTCCTCAGGACCTAAAAGATTCTCATTCACTGAAGTACAGAAAAAAACAATGTCAGAAAATACAGGAGAAAGAAATGTGGCGAGGTGTTTAAAGAGGGAGAAAGAAAGAAAAGAAAAAGAAAACAGCAAATAAGAAAAGCCAGGAGTAAAGACTTTGTTCTCAGGTAAGTTCTGGAGGAGCCGCTATCCAACGAGGCATTTTCTAAGAGATGGCAACTCAGCCGAGAGTTCTATTCACTAGTTTGATGTAAAACAGCATCCAGCCTATTGATACCAGCACTGAGGATGGGAGTTCTGAAGCAGCTGTCACTGAAACCCTCATGAGGTGTATGAAAAAAGAAACATTCTCCTTTGCTAGGCACATACAGCCACTGACCAGCCAACATCAGCACCGACCCTGCTTGATGCCCACAGCTACAGCTCTTCAGTCCTAAAAGCCCCATGGTCTACAAGTGATTGCCCGTTCTGATTTCCATACCAATGACCCACCTGAGTGACCACAGTCCCTCTCCACTTGACTCCAGACAATACACTACCATTAGCCTGTGGCAATGTCTGCAGCCTGCTCCCCTCTGGCTGATGCTCCCAGCCTCATTCTGTGGCTCAAGCCTTGAAAGACTGAGTCTTGGGCCCCTTCCATATATATTATCAGATAATCCAATTTGTCATGCCAAGATGATTTATCCTTCATTCTTTCTTACAGAAACAGAAAGGTTGCAGAAAAACGGGCTTCTACCCATCTGTACACCTCAAAATATCACTCTTGAAAATGAGAACCCTATCAAATTTTATGGAATCATTTTTCCATTCATTGGGCATCCACAGATGATACCAGTTGGATCATTTTCCCTTTGAAGAAATGTATTCACTCCTCAGATTTCTGAATCCTTAGCATCATTTAGAGCTCAGATGAACAAGGCTTCTTTTCAGCTCTAAGATGACAGGATTCATTGGGTCTGTGGTGACAAAAGGTATCTTCTGTTCCAGACTTTCAACCTGTGAAGCCAGCAGTATACCCATCACCCTAACCAGTCTTCTTGCTTTGGACCTCAGTTCATCCTTACATTAGCATTTTAGTTCTTGACATCCACAGGCTGAACACATCATTATCCTGACCAAAATTCCCAAAGGCTGCTAATTAGGAAAACAAAAAATTATTTATGCCTGTACAATCAGTTAAAAAATGAAAACTAATCAAAATTAGGTTCTAAAAGTGTGTGTGTGTGTGTGTGTGTGCGCGCACGCGCGCGCGTGCCTGCACGCACATTATAATTAGCTTTACCAAACTTTGGTTTTAGCCAAATACACAATCCTGTAAACATGGTTTTCCAAACTTTATATGATTATTTCTGATATTCCTCATATTAAAAAAAATGTGCTCCTCTCAAACAGAAATCTGATGTATTCATGAAGGTCCAGGTGAAGTCATTTCATAGGACTTCAAAGTTATACATATCACTAAATCTCTATCTCCTCAACTATGGGCTACCAATTGCATGAAATTCATTCAGCTACTCTGATTGTGCAGTCATTATGCTTAAGTGAGGGCACTGACTTTTTAGCCTCTCTCAGGCATCGTGAAATTATATGTATTAATTAAGCTCCTTGATATGGTTATTATATACTGACATCACAACCACACAGAGTGTCTAAAACAGATGTGGAGTCTAGTATTTGTGGTTTGTTTCAAACTTGTTGGAGGAGCATCTGCTATTATAATTATCCATACAAACATATTGGAAGGCAAAGGAAGTCAGCGCTAAAACTGTTCACCACAAAAGGCTGATTTGGGATCACAGTCCATGTGCCCTACCTCCTACAGGGTCATCCACTCTGCTATAGAGAGCTCAGGAGGCAGTGTTTGAAGTGATGGGACATGAAGGGTTACATTTATAGGCATCACTTCCAGCATAATTGCAAAGATGCAGAGTTTTCACTTAGCCAGGTAAATCTGGCCTTCACTGTGCCTCTGGCATCAGGGGAAAAAATTAACCAACTGTCGAATAAAATTCAATAACCCAGTGGATTAAATGACTAATACTCTGTGTCCTGAGCTGCTCAGCCCTCATCTCTGTTAACTGAGCCTTCCTGGGCCAGATGCACTGTGGCTTGACTCCAGGAACAGAATTGTGCATTCTGCTCAAAGTCTAGCCAGGCTGCTCAAGAGGAAAAAAAAGGACTAATTGTAAATCTTTTCTATTTTTAGGCATAATGTGCATTTTATTTGGCAGTAAGGGCACTATGAATAAAACTCCAATCGTAAGATGTTCATTTGCTTCCTCCAAAATGCTCACGTCAGTAGAGACCTTGGGAAATTGCTTATACCATTCCTCTGCCTTCAGAGAAAACCCCAAACTTTGATGGATGTTCAGACAGACTAAACTCTGGAATATCCTCCCAACTCATGCAGCCAGTTCTTCTTTCAATATAGATAATTTTTAAGACGTGACTCCTCTAAGGGGAATCCTCAGTATGACTTCACTGAATAATACCATATATCCTATTTTCCCTTTAAGTTTCGTGGCTATAGTCTCTCTCATATTTGCCTATGCATATATTGTTTCTTTTACTTTTAATTTAATTATATCTGCCATTGCTAACCTTATATTATAGCTGAGAATGTAAGCTCTCTAAAAGCAGGTGTTCTCTGCTTTTTTGTGGTACATATGTAGTACAGAGTACCTTGAATACAGTATGACATTTATGGGGCACATGCATGTGCACACAAATGTAATAAGTAGCATAAACACATCTTGTGCTATCTTAAGAAGTGGACTTCTTCCCACTAAGTGAAGAAAATTCCTGAGGTCACTGGGTTCTGAGTAACACTACCTGTGCACATTATTGTTGTTCTCTGGTCATTTCTCTCACTTGTTTTAGCAAACCCTTAGCACCCTTCTTTGCATTTGTGCTTCCCTGTAAGATTCTGAGCAAAGCTATGAATCCTTTACTGTGAAAATTGATCACCTACCCATATACATAAAATAGTCTCCAATTCCATGGAGGCCAGTAGCTCCTGACAACCTCAGAGATCTGCTATAGTTTAGATGAAAGAATGTTGCCGAAAGGTCCATGTATTTATTAAAGGGTGCATCCCCAAGGCAGGGCTACCGGGAGGTGCTGGGGATATATAGGAGGTGGGGCCTAGTAGGAGGTCCTTAGGTCATCATGAGGATGCTCATGAAGGGGATGTGGAACCTTGGCCACAACTCATGCTTTCTTCTCTTTACCTCCCGGCAGATGAGATAAGAGATTTTATTCTGCCACACCCCCTGCCATAAGGTGCTACCTTGCTGGAAGCCCAAAGGTTGGGGACATTCAACTAGAACCTCCAAAACTGTGAGTCAAAATAAACTTTTTTTTTTCTTTTTAAGTTGATTATCTCAGTAATCTGTTACTGTGACAGAAAGCTAACACAGCATCCAAGTGAAGAACTGCTTCTCCAGTGTTTTGTCTAGAATCTAACCTGTATTCTTCATGCTGTTTGAGATGTTCATCTGGGTTAAGCAAGAAACCCAAGATCCCCTTTGCTTCCCTATATCTCACTGGCACCAAGTTCAGGCTATTGCACAGAACAGAAGCAGTCATCCAGATGAAATACAGAGGTGATTATCTAGCTCTCTTTTCCCTGGAGATCTGGGCACCAGAGTCTCAAGAAAGTCACGGTGCTCACCTTTTGGTCTTGACTGTATGCCAGAATCCAGTCTTCTTGCTTCGGGTGGAAAAGCAAGCTCTGGATGTAAAAGTTCAGCCGGTACTTTTGATACGTTGCCCCTTCATCTGAGCTGATCAATAAACTGCTCTCAATCTCCGGGTCTGTGAGTAACATAATCTGCAGGAAGAATGGTGGGGAAAAGAAAAAAAACAGAGAGGTTATAAACTTACAAAACTCAAAAATGAGCTAAAATTTAGACAAGGGAAAGATAAGGGGCAGGTAGAGAATTCTTGGCCAAAGACCTTCACTCTGCCACGTTTATGCTGCTATTGTGGATCAATGCCATCGAACCGTGAGAAATGAAAGGGGCAGTGGAACTGGTAAGGAAGGGAAAGAGAGGGAGAACTGCATTTTCTTCCATAGGATTCCTTTTTTTTTTTCTTTTCCTCTAGTTACTCCTTCCCCTGCAACATTTCCTATGACTTCCTTAATGCCAGTGCTTCTTCATCTGGCCCCTTAATTGCTCCATTTGGCACAGTAAATGAGCGACTGGTTACTGTCTGTTGTGGGAACTGAGAACACAGAAACCCTATTGTTGTCTTCTTTTTTCTTTCCTATCCCATACCCCTTCATTCCACTTCCACAGTGTCCTTGTCATCCAACCCTCAACCTGATTTTCTGAGCCTTGAGTCAAAGTCTGGCCTCATGAAACCTTTCTCTTGGGATAATACCTAGGTTATTTTATACAACATATTTATTACATTCTAACCTCCTATATAAGTTATTTGTTATTTTCTTTTTCATCTCTATACCTTCTGCTAGAACACAAGATCCATGAGAATAGAGATATTGGTCTTTTTTTTTTTGTCTGTGGACAAAAATGTGAATGAAATTTCCATGAAAGCATATTTGCACTTGGTTGCCCTTCACAATTTTTAGCCCAGGGGCTATAAATATGCACAATTCACAGCTTCAGATATTTTGCACTCACTGGGATCCCCAATCTGGGCTGGAGCATTGCGAATAGTCCACAGTGGAGCAAGATGAACGAGGTGCCCTGAAAACTGCTTTCTATCGTCTCCTTTTATGCCTCTAGGGATGTATGATAAAGTACCTCACTCACCACCCTCTGTGGGTCTCCTTTCACTCAGTCAAAGGGCACACCTAATATCTCCAGACACAGGGCCTTAATGCTACACATTGACTTCTTCCCCATCAGCTTATTAATTGACATTCTCTGAGTTTGGTTGAGAGAAGCAAGAAAGATGTGCTTAATGTGTGGCTCTATGAAGAGAAATCACTGCAGCCCAGGGTTTAAAGATTACCAGCCAAGGATGCGGCAGTTTCAGGAAGAGGGAGAGAGGAGACAGAGAGAGAACAGAGCCATGACATAAAGCAGCAGGCTGCCCAGCAGACACATACAGGTTTCTCAAGGATTCAGAGGCAATCATCTTAAAAACTAAGGAGTTAGTATGATCTTTGAAAATGGTGTGTTTCTTACTACAAATGGCATGAAGTTTGCATTCCAGGCACATTGTGCCTAAACTCTAGGTTATTCAGGATAAGCTTAAAGTTTCTTGCTATTCTTCCAACCTCTTCTTGAAGAAGACAAAAGAGATATACTGGGGTAAGGAGAATGTGGTAACTGTCAGCCATACTCCAGACAAAATAGGAAGCATGCAAAACGGGAGTCTAATCCCCTCTCATATTCAGTGAAGCCACTGCCTGTCAACCATAAATTCTCACAGTTACAGGTTTATGTGTCTCACACTCACCAAGTAGACTGCTTCCCTCACTGGATGGTTGACAAGAGCCATCAGGTAATCTTCTAAGTACAAACTCACATCGCTTCATTAAACACCAGTGCATGCATTAAACAAGACTGTTTAGATGGCTCCTAAATTTACAGAGACATTTCCAGGTGATTTCATATTTATTGGCACATAAAAGCTGTCATTCTTCAAAAAACAAATAAGTCATCAAATGATCATATTGCCTTGTATGTCTAACCACAATTAACACTAATTTATAACAGCCTTTTGCACTACTGCCAAAAAGTAATTTTCATGATAATATGAAGTAGCTCAGTTTAACAGAGTATCTATTGTCTCAGGGAAAGTAATGATTTTCCCCTTGATTTCCTAGTTATCTGTTATCCAGAATATGTTTTCCTCTCTTCTTCACCACCTGCTTCACTTGACAACTTCATAAAAATAAAATAATTAAAGCTAGGCCTATAGCATACACCCAATCAAGCTGATTATTATTTATCCTCTATTTTAAATATTTTATATTCATCTATACTCTAAGGTCCACAGACTGTGTAAGATACTTTGTATCTAGATAATTGTAAGTGATAGTGGTGAAATAATGTAAATATATTCCAATAAATGGATAAATCCCACCCTCTCTATATAGCACTCACACAAACCCTCCATTTGTGAATCTGACATTCTGGAAATGATGGAAGAGGGCAGGAAATTTCTTCAAGTCTCATATATATATATGTCAGTACAACGCAAACTTTCCACCGGTCCTTCTTTCAAGTTTCTGCTCAAATCTAACTCAAAACAAATAGGTAAATATGGATCCATTTTTGTGTGATCATTTCTTATTACACAAACAACTTGGTTGAGACTTCCAGTAGAATCCAAAACAAAAGAAAAATAAATGGTGCATGAGCCTATCCAGTTAAACTACATGTATTTTTTCCTTCTTCTTTAATCACATCTTTATGTCATATCACAGAGAAGAGTCTTTATTCTGACTTTTTTCATTGACTATCATGATGTATATTCATTTGTAACTGAATCATAAGTGCACACACATTGGCATGCCTACTGAGTACAAGGTATTCCAATTTCTTCAACTCAACTTTTAATCTAACTAGTCTATTATTGGTACAGGGGTTAGGATGTACTTAAATTCCCAATGATTCCTGGTTTTGCTAGCTCAGGATGGCTCTCATCATGGTTTGGATACAGAGAATCCCCCCCCCCCCCCCACCCAAAGCTCCTGTTAATGTAGGAATATTCAGAGGTGAGATGATTAGATTGTGAGAGCCATAACCTAATCAGTCCATCCTAGTTTGAATGGACTGGGTAGTGACTGTAGGCAGGTGGGGCATGACTGGAGGAGGTGGGTCACTGGGGGCATACCTGGAAGGTTTCCCCTGGAGCCCTTCCCCCTCTCTTCTCTGTCTCTGCTTCCTGGCCTCCCATGCTAAGGAGCTTTTCTCTAATGGGCCCTTCCCTGCTGATGCACTACTTCATCTTGGGCCCAGATCAATGTAGTCAGTCATCTATGGACTAAGACCTCTGAAATCACGATCCCCAAATAACTTTCCCTTTTCTATGTTGTTCTTGTTGTATATTTTAGAGCAATGAAAAGCTAATTATTACAGCTCTCTACCCTCTCTGAGCTCTTCATGTGACTTTGAATAAATGATGTTTTGTTGCATTTAATCTTCTGTATTCTGGAATATGATGTAAGTAACAGAATTTTAGTAGAACCCAGGAAAAGGCATGAACTCAAGCTCTGCACATTCCCAAAGGGAGCTTCCTAAAAGGAGAGGTCTCTGTTTGCCAGGAAAAAGCTTATTCCATAGTAGGTCCATATATCATTGTAAATGAATAAAAGGATGAACAAGTAAAGGAGTGAATCCTTTCATCCCTGGCTTCTGCTGAATGCAGCCCAGGGACCCTGTAACACTGTGAGTCCAAGTTCTCTTGAACAAGTCTCCACTGTTTGACGTGGAAACGAGGTGGGTGAAGACAAGAGAAAGAGACTGCTTTTAACAGGAGTAATTATTCTCTGTCCAAATGAGCCCAGGAGTGGTAAGAAGCAGTTCACCTATGCCTTGCAGGGTGTGCAGATGCTACATGGTCTGCATCTGCAGATGGATTGTTTTCCAAAGAAAGTCAATAAAGGCGATACAGCTCCTGCCACCCAACTCTAAGCGATCATTCATCATCCACTTCAGAAGGAGGAAGAAGCTTTATTTGCTTTTCCTCGAGGTGACAAATGAACACGAAATGCAATTTATAGATTTCAAATACGTCACTCCTCTCTTTCTTGGTAGTATTCCGACAGCTCAGTGTCGTCAAAAATTAAATGTGTCCTCACTCTCCAATTTTCTCTAGATTCGACATATCGCTGCATGATGTAATTCTACAAAGTGTTGGCAAGCAACTTTCTGATACTTCCAGGTGCCTACTGTGGAACTTCTTCCCAGAGGGAATCCTTTAGCTTTCCAGATTCCTTTTCTAGGAGTGTGTTCCCAGAATGCCACCATTTACCTGTTTAGATAAGATGGAGTTTATATGGATCACTTCATCACCTTTGTGCCTATAAGTTTTCCACCATTTGTTTGGTCCTAATGCAAACAGTATTTTTTGCATTGTTCATTGTTTATTTGCTCATTTGTCTATTCCTTGTCATTTGTGGGCTGGAATAAAAGCAAAAGTAATGTCCTACTGATGCAGATTTCTCTGTGTCTCTTTCTCTCTCCCCTTTGCTCAAGGCTCAATTCAGCTCTGTTTGCCCATATCACAGGTGCATAGTAAATGCTTTTCATGATGATAATGACAAGGATAAAGAGAAACTGCAACATCAGCAGTTATCTGCCTGCTTTATTCAAAAAGTAATAGTTCTATCTACAAACAGAATAAGAGGCTATTTGCAAGCCTTTGGCCTCAAAATTAAAAACAAATTAGGCAAAATGTAATCAGAGCAAGGAAGTAATTTGCTGACCAATGTGGGCAGAAGAGTGCCTATTCCCAATGTGGGCTGAGCATTTATCCTTCCCAGACAAGCAGAGAGTGAGAGCAGTAAGAGCTTATCAATTGCCAATTGTTTGGAAGGAATTTACAAAGGATCCCAGAAGGGGCCATAGAAAGAAAAACACTGAAGTACAAAAAAAAAAAAAAAAAAATAGTGAAAGCAGGAGAGAAAGGTGATTAAAGGGAAAAAGTGTCCATCAAGCACACATGGAGAGAAATGAGTCTGTGGAAAGATGGACACAACACAACCACTTGTCCTAAATCCCTTCCTACCAAACTCAGCGAAGCTCACCTAATGTACCATCTTTGTTCATTAACACGAAATAGTGTCATTCAATACTAAGAGACAGAACATTTGGGCAACAGACCATCTACTTGTGACCTGACAAGTGATTC